CCTGCTAAAAAACGCTTCTGTTTTACTGTCTCATTCAAAGTTTACTGAAAGTAATGCGTATATTTTACAGGCTCACCCGTATCGCTGAATGGCCTCACTAAAAGATGACATCGGTAAATTTACGAAACGAGACCGAGGAGAGTATTCAGTTGACAAAACGTTATCAAATCGGCAAAATTCTAGAACGGTAAGACAATTGTTTGTTCCTGAAGATTTTCTCTTTATGTGCACCACAGTCGACCTCAGTGGTTTCCACGTTATTTTTTTTCCACTCTACAACCACAGAAAGTTTGTAATTTCTTGTTTCTTTACGTTATCAGCTTCTGCCTTCGGTCACAGGGTGGAAAGCAACTGTTGTTGCAATGACCATATCTTCTATTGCAACTCATGAATATAACAACAAAATTTTTAAAAAACGACAAATTTTTTCTGAACGTTTTTACGCTTGCTCTCTTTTGTTCTTCTGATCTCCTAAACTAATCAACGAATACTTGATGGATATATTAAACCGGCATTGCACTATCCATCCTAGCTTTTTTTGAGAAACATTAATAATAACCAAGTTTAAAAGTGCTTTCTGTCTTAACAAAACTTTTTATTGCTTTGTATCTGGTTTTTAGCAGAGTTTCCCACTCTTTTGTTGTAATATATCTGCACAAAATAAAATAGTTCTATAGAGGGTGTGCTTTTTAAAATTAGCTGATTCAAAAACAATTTTTTTTTGCGTAATCACCTCTTCTAGATTATCTCTGTTCTTAGTTACCAAACTTTACTTTCTGCACTTTTATTTTCGAGAGTAAGAGGTTAAGATGGTGAAAAAATTTGTCTTTGCAGGGAAGGTAGCTTTAGTAGAAGCCTGTTTGCAATATGTACTCAAACGTCTAACTGTTATTGGTAGAATTTTTTCAAGAATTTTTCATCAGTGTTTGTTTGCCAGCGGAGTAAAAACGAAATATTACACGGCGTATTTTGGAGAGATGAGAAGGGAGATTTACTTGCGTTCATGTTTCTCTGATTACTGGGTTGTTTAATCAAAGTTTATGATACTTTCCTATTACGCTATTAATTACAGATGTGTCTTTGTTTCGGTTCTGTTAATATGTCAAAAAATAATTGAAAACAAAAAATAATAATAATTTGAGGAAGAAAAAGTAATGCAAAAATAAAGAGACTAAAGTAAGTTTTTTTCTACAAACATGTAATCAGTGAAATGAATTTTGTTTGGAATATTTGAGCACATAAGAAAAACAGACAACAGTTTTTGTTTTTGTTTTTTCTTTTGTTTGCTTATTTATTGAAAACATGAATAGAGAGATTGGAGGAGAAAATGCGATTATGACTGTGAATTAAGACTAAGATTTGGTTGAATGTTGCTGAAAAAAATGACAAGAAACATGAAACAGTCAGCATCTTTTTGCAATTTTTTTGCACTTTTATGACAGTAAGAAGGTTCAACTGCTTATAGGTTATTTTTTTAGCTAATTATCAGGTAAGTAATTTGCATGATATTGAAGCTTCATTCAAAAGTTTCATTAATGATGAGCATTGTCTTCTCTTAGTTGTTGCAACAAAACCTTAAACTAGTAACTATAAGAGTCATTGACGATTACACACATTGGCAGTTTGTTTTTTTATGTTTATATTTTTTTTTAACTAAATTAAATTAATTTAATCGTTCAATATATTTGTTTAGTTAGTTGTTAATATCAGTTTAGAGGAACAGTAGAAATTGAAGAAGAAAAATTTATCATTGTGAATTGTCTTCTTCCTTTTTTTTCTTTCCATTAAAAGTAACTAGATAATTTTGAACAATTGTTCTAGGTAATCAGAACAAAAATTTTTTCTATAAAAAAGGATTTATTTTAATCATTTATCATCAACAGTGCTTTCAAATTTGCAAAAAAATGAATTATTAGTGGAAAAATTTGATAAAACCGGTAATAGTAAAGGTTGCTTGTTTTTTTTCAGCGGTTGTCTAAGCACGGTTTATCAGGCGGTAGAGCGAGCAACAAAGAGTCTTTGCATGGTTAAATGTATCAACATTGCTAAATTTATTGCTACTACGGGGCTTACACGAGAAGGTTTTATTTTAACTCCTAAATTTTTTTTATTATATAATTTAATTATTTAGACAATACCAGCAGCAAAAGGTACAGATATAAAGTAATAGATAAATTTATATATATATATGTCTATTTATACAATATTGATTTGGATTCTTGTGAAAATTGCAGTAATTTTTAGTGACATACAGTTTTTGTTAAACGAACAAATAGATAACTATATTAGTGTTGAATAAAAGAAAGCAGAATTGCATATCAAGCAGTTTTGCTCAAATGAATTAATACCATTGCTGATTATTACATATTTTTGCCAAAAAAAAAAAATAGATTGCTGGTTTTGGTAGAGAACAAAAAAGCACACAGTTATTAGGTTAGTTTTATTATTGAAAAATAATGATAATTTTGTTGCTGTTTATTAATCGTGCAAAAAAAAAAGCACCAACGATATGATTGACAAAGTGCTTTTTTTTTACCACTTTTTCTGTCTTTTTTTTTTTTTAGATATCAACAACGAAATTGAAGTATGTTCGATGTTAAGGCATTCATTTTTGTGCCAAATGAAGGATTTCATAACGGGTAATGACTATGTTTATATTATATTTGAACATGTTCAAGGTGATGATATATGTTTTGAAATTGTTACTCGAGTTAGTCAGGGATTCGTTTATAGTGAAGCAGTTGCCAGGTCAGATGTTTTGGTTAACAGAATATTTCATTCATTTCTGTTTCATTTTGTCGTCAACAAAAATTTTATCGAATGTTTTTTTTTTTTTTTACAGAAAATAGCAGTAACTTTTTTTGTCGTTTAGTTTGAGACTTTTTTTTGAGATAAC